CAAGCATCACTAAAAATCTTCGTTATACAGTGCAAGAACTGTCAGAGAAATTATAAATTGCAAAAAGTACCGTACTTGACCACTTGAACCTGTTCCCGTGAGTGAAAACCGCAGAACTTTCCGGATGACCCAATACTTATAATTTCAAAGCATGTTAAAATAAATAATACTCTTTAATAATATATTAATATCATACAAATCAAAATTTGACAAATATTTGTTTAATTGTTGAAACTTAATGCAGAAATCTTACAAAACTTTATGTAAATAACAAATCAATTAATATTTGATATTATTTATTGATTAATTAATAGTTTTGTTTGTTATTAGCTTTACAAAGGGTTTCACATGTTTTGTTTTAAACTGTACAAATCAAAAAACAATGACATTTGAAGAACATAACAACACATTACTCAATGTCGCAAAGGAGATTTTTTTCGAAGGAATAATCTGGACTCGTTATACAATAATGACCAATAATTTTATTGTGTTTCATATATTGACAATACTACTACAGATTTTGCCAGCTGTATTAATAGATCTGATTTTAAAATTCTCTGGACGTCGACCTATGTAAGTCTAAAATAAAATATCTATTTCAGCAAATGCAAATTATTAATTCATATATTTGATCGAATTGGCAAAATCCAGATATTCCGTAAACTAAAATAATAAACTTTTTGGAAAATATTCTTCTTTGTCATGCATAAATTAATTTAGATATTTTGCGTGTATATAATTCTCTCTCTTTACTTATCTATCCAACTGTTTACATTATATAAACAAGCAAAAATTTTTTTAAAGAAAACTTATTTAAATAATTATATTAATCTGTGCAGGTATATTTAAAAAATTAATTTATTGTGGTTCATATGAATTTATATTACGGATTTAGTATTATTTATTTTTAAGTACAATTGAAATTGTATTATTATATAAATCGTTATAAATTAATGTGTAAAGTGTAAATTAGGATGATACAATTACAAAGAAGATTGTATGTGGTCAGTTGTTTTATTGGCTATTTCTTGTGTAATAAATGGGAGTTCTGCAATATAAATAGCTCAACTCTGATATCCTCAATATCATCTGATGACCGGGATACGTTTTCGTTCGAATATTCTGATATTGATTTATATGAGTATTACAAGTAAGTGCATTATATTTTTTATTCTGAATAATGTTTACAATAAAGAAATATAAAGCTAATATATGTTTATTTTACGATATAAAGAAATGGTGCAATTGGTGCTAAAAAATTTCTTCTTCACGAAGATATGAATCGATTAGATGCAGCCAAAGCACATGCTAAAAGGTATAAACACAGTATTTCTTATTGTTTTACATATATCATTTACATTTGTGTGATATTTGAAATCGGCTATCAGATAATGTAA